CTGAGGTGTTGTCTGTGAAGAGTGATACACATCAGCCTGATATACGTACTCTGAAAGCCTAGGATTGAAACTCAGGATTGAATAAGGACTGGGAATGGCTGAGCCAGTTACAAACACTGAATCTATCTACCCTTGTAAGGATTCTCACACTTCTATCAAACTGTCTGTACTGGGCTAGCTTGATTATCACTTCAAAAAAATTTTTTTCTCTTACTTAATTGGCCTCTCAGAGTTGGTAAGACAACTCCCACCTGTTCATGCTCTCTGTATGTGTGTATATATATCCCCTCAATATATGTTCCACTCTATATGCATCCGAAGAAGTGGGCAGTAGCCCACGAAAGCTTATGCTCTAATAAATTTGTTAGTCTCTAAGGTGCCACAAGTACTCCTGTTCTTTTTGCGGATACAGACTAACATGGCTGCTACTCTGAAACCTTTATTTTTTTAGATTGTGGGCAGTTTTTTTGTTTATTTGTTTGGCTTACAAATATCAAGAATGCAATATCTGGCTATCCCTGTTTTTTGTGGGCAGACCTGTGGGAAGTATAAGGGAATTTATGGCGGGCCCTTAACTTTATTGAAAGGATGAGAGTGCTGAATCTTTAACAAAGTATTCATTAATTATTACACAGTTGGTCAAACATTTTAACCAAAACCAAATAAACATTCTGATGAAAAATCCTTCTCTCTCTTACTAGCTAAACTTTCATGTTTAGCTCTAGTGATGTTGCTAGTTCTCCAGTCACCATAGAGTCTTCCAGTCTAGAGAGGATCTGAACTTCCCATGTAAAAAACAAGCAGGAACCAAACCTCCCTCTCCACCCCACAACTTTCAGGCCTTCTTTTTTCAGCATTAAAAATAGAGGGGGAAAGATGCATGCTCCATTTTTTCCCTTTTGTGGGTCACTTTGAACTTGGGCCTCCTTCCAAGTTTACATCCATCTGTGCATACCCTCGCCCTGCCCTGTCTCTATGAGAGGATGGATCAGCCGTTAAATGACAATCCACAATGCTATGGGAAGGAGTTCTTACCTGGGTAACTGTGAGCAGCTTTTCCTCCACATTTGAAAAAATCCACTTGAGAACATATGTATCAGCTAAGAGCCTCTGCTGTGGAGTCCAGTGGGGCATCAGCAGCTTCTCGCTGTCATTGCGCACAGAAAACAAAATTGCAGTAAGAGCAGCAGTTTTCCAGTAGTTTTGTGGCTCTTCCAATCCCAGTACTGAGAGTCTGTGCTTGGCTATGGCCATATTTATGATGTGTAGCTCACCTGGCTAATTGCATACACAAAGCAGCATTCAGCTCTCATCTAAGGCTAGGTCTACACTACCCGCCTGAATCGGCGGGTAGAAATCGACCTCTCGGGGATCGATTTATCGCGTCCCATTGGGACGCAACAACCGATCCCCGAATCGACGCTCTTACTCCACCAGCGGAGGTGGGAGTAAGCGCCATCAACGGGAAGCCGCAGAGGTCGATTTTGCCGCCGTCCTCACAGCGGGGGTAAGTCGGCTGCGATACGTCGAATTCAGCTACGCTATTCACGTAGCTGAATTTGCGTATCTTAAATCGACCCCCCCCTGTAGTGTAGATGTAGCCTTAGGAACAACTGAAACTAGGTAAAATATTTTTTCGATCCTCCCCAGACCCACCCTTTTTTGATTCTTCTCTTTTTGGCCCTTTTTGTGGCCCCATTCTCCAATTACATCATCCCCTCTCTGATTCCCTCTCCTCTGTCCCCACTCCTTCCTGCATCTCTCTCTCTTGGCCTTGTCTGCACTAGAAAGTTGTATGCAGAAAACAACTGTGGATATAGTGTGGATACAGCTATATAGTGTAAGGGAAAATTAAGTAGGCCCAAACTTTGACCAGGATAACTTTAATTAAAATAACTGTGTACAAGGGTCAGGAGAAAAAAAGAGAATGAAAAATGTATCTGTAATCGCTAGAAGCCTTAACCGCAAAAGTACAACCTGTGAATAACAGGAAAAGCTTGCAAGAGAAACACCTGTGAATAATAGGTAAGCTTGTTGCTTTTGTATTCCTAATAAGGAGCTGTTTTTCTGTTTAAACAGATATTATGAATGAAAAGTGTGTTTGACTAAATGTGGTTTTAAGCTATAAAAGCTTCTGTGTTCCTTTGTGAGACAGACCAGCTAGGCTGGCTGTGTCTCCCTGCATGCTTGTAATAAAGTGGGCTTCAGACTGTTCTGATCCAAACACAACGTGTGGTTAATTTTTCTACCACAATCTGTTCAAAGGTAATATTCCTGTATGGGAAGGGGAATAACTATACAGTACCAGTATAAGTCAAAAGACTTTGGAACTGTCTTCCTTACTTGGTCCAACAGATCACAGATTTGGTGACCTTCGGTACATGCTGTAAGAAACACAATTACACATTTTCCAAGGCTTTTCTTGGAGGGAATGTGTATGTGATTGATGGATGGGATGACTGAGGAGTCAGAAGGCTGGGCAGAGTAATGTTATTTGACAATGGGAAGAGGAGACAAAAATTCTTTACATCTGCAATAGGGTCTGCTGGTGTCACTAGTTTTGGGCAGCCTGTTGTTGAGCTTCAAAATGTGCTTTAGGTAACATTTGTGTAATGAGCCTGGTGTTAAGAAAGGTGCAATGTACAAGTTCAGATAAATATGCTTACAGCTGAGAATACCTATTACATTTGTCGTTAAAGAGATATTCAGCATAGTTAAATGCAAAGACCTTAGAACATCATCAGCCCTCTCAAAAGTTCTATTAGTTCTGGGCACTCAAGAGTCTCTGTTGGGAAATAATAGAGCTCTCCTGCTATTTCCACACAAGCTATGTTGATTCATGTGCAAGAGTCAATCATTAATGCAGACATTCATATTTTACAGAATATATATGATAAAGTCTGTGTGGATACGTGCCATCCCAGGGCACCCCCCAATGGCCTGGGATGGCCCTGCACACACCTTGCCTCAGTTTCCCTCTGACTTCTCACAATAATCCACTTACAAGCAGAGTCTTTAAAAACAATATTCCCTCCACCCCAGGGTCTCTTTTATTCAGATTAATCAGCTCCCCCAAAAGAATGCTCCTTTTAGATTCAGGGTTTCACAGCCCTCCCTCTTGGTCTTTGTACATCTAGCCCCAGCCTCCCCAGCTTGTAAAATCTCCCCTCAAGTTCAGAGTATCCACAGTCCTCTTTCGTGGGGCCTGCCTGTGTTTACCCAGTGAGGCTGGTGGACTTTCCCCTGAGGTTCAGCGTTTGCATAGCCCTCCTTCTTAGGGCTGTACCCTAGCTGAGTTCTTCCCCTCAGCAGCTTTCCCTGACTAGGCTTGGAACCTCCATTTTGATTCATCTACCCAGTCACCTGACTACTCCCTTACTCCTTCCCAGGTGGGTCTAGCAACCAAAACACCTGCCTGGGCCAGCTGGGAGAGATGAGAGCCATGTCTCAACTACTCTGCAAGGTTGCTGGTCCTGGGCTCGTAAAGGAACACTAGCCTGGGTTTTTCCTGTCCATTCACCCTCCCAGAAACTAACTATTCCATGGTACCACCTGCCTCTCATCTCCTTCCAGGTAACCAGAACAGACATTGGGTAATTGGCCTCTCACACAACCTATCCTGACCTTAAAGAGCCAGAACCAGCCCATCATAGTCACTTTTAAAGGGCTGGGAAAGTAAATAATATTTGGCTGCAAACATACAGCCCCAGTTCAGCAAAGTACTTAAGCACGTCAATGGACTCCGCACTTGCTTGAAGTCATCATGTTCTTTGCTGAATTGGGGCAACCAAGCCATTTCCCAAGTTGTACAGTCAGTTCTTAGGGTCACTGGCTTCCAGAACAGCACACAGAGGGAGCAGTGCTTGGTCAGAACTGATCTTCACTACAAATTTATGCTGTTAGGATGAGGACAACAATCATTACATTTCAGGGTGAAAAGTTTAAAATGTCAAATGAGAAGCTGCACAGAATATCAGGGTTGGAAGGGACCTCAGGAGATCATCTAGTCCAACCCCCTGCTCAAAGCAGGACTGTAATCGGTCCTAGCCGGGGCTCGACCCTTCCGGGCAGGAGGGGAGCCACACCGACTCACTACTGGGGGAACAAGCAGTCAGTTAGTCCCGAAGCTCCGGCTCTCTGGTGCAGGGTGGAGCAAAGCCGACAGCTCAGGGCTCAGGCCCTCGGTTGCAGGGGACTGAGTGAGTAAGTAGTTCAGAGCCCAGGCCCTGGATCAGGGCGGGGCAAACGCAGTTTAGCTCAGGCCCTTGTTGGCAGGGGCTGAGCGGATAAACAGTTCAGGAGCCCAGGCCCTGGATCAGGGCGGGGCAAACACAGTTGAGCTTAGGCCCTTGTTGGCAAGGGCTGAGCAAATAAACAGTTCAGGAGCCCAGGCCCTGGATCAGGGCGGGGCAAACACAGCTAAGCTCAGGCCCTTGTTTGCAGGGGCTGAGCGAGCAAGCAATTCAGGGGCCCAGGCCCTGGATCAGGGCGGGGCAAACACAGTTGAGCTTAGGCCCTTGTTGGCAGGGGCTGAGCGAATAAACAGTTCAGGGGCCCAGGCCCTGGATCAGGGCGGGGCAAACACAGTTGAGCTTAGGCCCTTGTTGGCAGGGGCTGAGCGAATAAACAGTTCAGGAGCCCAGGCCCCGGATCAGGGCGGGGCAAACACAGTTGAGCTTAGGCCCTTGTTGGCAGGGGCTGAGCGAAT